AGGATAAACTGTTCACCATGTTTAACGCCCAGTTTACTCATAAAATGGATATGAATTTGTGTGTGTGTTAGAGTGTATTTTTCACCTTTGTGGCTGTCCAGGTGACAAATGTTCCCTACTGTTATCATTACAATCATCTTATCAGGATTTCCACACTAAGGTAGCTGAGGTAGGTCTGAGCCCAACATGTCACCTGGAGGCACTCTGCTGCTATTGACTGACCAATGACTGACCAAGACCTTTTGTCCCTGATTGTTAAGCCTGACGTATAATGATGAACCTCTCTTTCTGAGATTTGTTGACTGAATTGAAAACAAAAGTCGACCAGACAGCTTTAATATCTCCCTAACACCAGCAGATTAGCTGGTTTGCTTTTCTCCACAAATTCCATTATCAAATTCTAGCGGAGAAAGAGACATTTAAGGACTGCAGGCCTAGACACTGTCTGGTATGTACACAGGAAAAAAACAAGGTTTATATGTCTGGCCTGAGATCCTCAGACAGACACAAATTATTGGCACAGTAACCAGTCCACACTTTTCTTATTTCCCAAAAACTAACCAGGCTTTATCATTCCGATATGTTGATAATCCTGTATCCTTAGTAACAAGGCTATACCATTCCTATATCTTGATAATCCTGTATCCTTAGTAACAAGGCTATACCATTCCTATATCTTGATAATCCTGTATCCTTAGTAACAAGGCTACACTATTCCTATATCATGATAATCCTGTATCCTTAGTAACAAGGCTACACTATTCCTACATCATGATAATCCTATATCTTTAGTAACAAGGCTATACCATTCCTATATCTTGATAATCCTGTATCCTTAGTAACAAGGCTACAGTATTCCTATATCTTGATAATCCTGTATCTTCAGTTATCAGGGTAAACCATTATTGTTTTCTTATAATCCTGTTTTCACTATAAAAGTTTAGTCTACTAGCATGTGTTTGTACAAATGTTCTAAGGTTTGTAGACTTCATACAGTGTGGGTTATGATAATGGTCTACTAAAATATGTTAAAATGTTCTAGTTTTCATCTCACCAAAGGTCATCTGATTTGAACTACTTGTAAACTAAATTTGTACTGTTTAAAGAAACCAAATCTTTTACAAGCCATTTGCAATACAACTACTTACATGTCTCTAATGACCACTGATCTGTTTGTAAACTGGAAGTGTTGCAAGGCTAGAACATGTCTTGGTGTGTTATCACCTATTGTTATATAAGTGTTTTATTTTTTATTCTTTAACTTGACAATAATTTGAGGCCGTCTATATTTCACAAGTTTTTTAGTGCACTGTCTTTTAATACAACATAACAACTATAAAGAAAATCTGATTTTTTTTTCCTCAATCAATTTTCATATATTACATATATGTGGTTTTGTGGCCACTCAGAAACTCTGCCTTGTAATGTTCAGGTACATATATAATGAAAATTCTCTCCATACCGAACAAACTTTGACTGGGAATTGTCAAGAGCGGGGCTATGTCAACAGGTGCTTGTTGAAGGGAGTGTAAGAAACTGTTACCAGATACGGTGATTCATTTAATGGATAAAAGGATTATTTGTTGTCTATTTATACCTCTTTCTTCAGGTTGGTTAAAAAGTAAGTCTTTTGGCTAATGTAGGTCGAAGATCACAAAGGTGCTGTATTTAAATTTCTTACCCGGTAAACAAACTCCAGGTGACGATATTAGCTGATTAAAAAACATTCAATCACATGATATTTAGCTATGTCAGTTCTTATGTACAAGTCAAGCAGTTGTACACAGTTTGTATGGCACAAAGGAAATTTACTGGTACTAACCCATACAATTGTGATAATATCACCGATATATTTACACGGTGTCCTAGTCTATTGGCCATGGCAGATTTAACTGTAATGACAACTAAATAAACAAACGTGTAACTCCGTGATTGCAATAGTAATATCCCAGGTATCTATACACATACACAGTTGAAGATCATTTACCCTATGGTTTGTTGAAAATTTACAACCCTAAAAAGCATCTGTAATGATATTAAATAACAACAACTTTGATAGTGGAGGTATAAGTAGAAGGGCTCACAATGGTTCCTCTGAAACACACTGAATTCACACTTCTACTGGGATAAGATTTCAGTATGAGGTCACAGTGAAGATTCAATGTCGCATCAAAAATGTAACAGTGTTTCGTCAAAAAGGTAATTACTGGGGCACAGGCAATATTAAAAACATCAGAAAGCCAACAGGAAAACATAAAAATAATCCTTTACTCTATTCACCACAGATCTCAATCCTCTGATAAACATTTTTAGATTGCTACACACTTGTTAAATATTCCTACTCACCCTATAAAACCACAAAAGGGGGTGGAAGATCATATTTGTCCCATCTCAAAAACTCATTTGTGAAGGAGTGAGAAGAGCCAAAACGAACAGCAGAACATGAAATGATGAAGAAGAGACAAAATTGGAAACAAAATGAACAGAAATAAAAGATGAATAGAAAAAAAATTAAGTAGGAAAGGGGTATGCATACATTAGGAGAGGTACTAGCAACATCTTCACTAGAGGGGACAACAAGGTGAAGAATAAAGGAGAAAAGTAAAACTGTAATGGGCCAGAAAGTGAGGGAGGGAGAGAAAAGGGAAGAAGGAGCAAGGAAACAGAAGTGAGTGGGGAAGGAGTAGGGAGACAGAAGTGAGTGGGGAAGGAGTAGGGAGACAGAAGTGAGTGGGGAAGGAGTAGGGAGACAGAAGTGAGTGGGGAAGGAGTAAGGGGTTAGAAGTGAGTGGGGAAGTACAGAAGTGAGTGGGGAAGGAGTAAGGGATTAGAAGTGAGTGGGGAAGGAGTAGGGACACAGAAGTGAGTGGGGAAGGAGTAGGGAGACAGAAGTGAGTGGGGAAGGAGTAGGGAGACAGAAGTGAGTGGGGAAGGAGTAAGGGGTTAGAAGTGAGTGGGGAAGTAGTAAGGGGTCAGAAGTGAGTAGGGAAGGAGTAAGGGGTTAGAAGTGAGTGGGGAAGGAGGAAGGAGACAGAAAAGAGTGGGGAAGGAGTAAGGGGTCAGAAAAGAGTGGGGAAGGAGACAGATGCATGTTGGGTAGGAGTAAGGAGACAGACGTGAGTGGGGAAGGAGTAAGGGGTTAGAAGTGAGTGGGGAAGTAGTAAGGGGTCAGAAGTGAGTAGGGAAGGAGTAAGGGGTTAGAAGTGAGTGGGGAAGGAGGAAGGAGACAGAAAAGAGTGGGGAAGGAGTAAGGGGTCAGAAAAGAGTGGGGAAGGAGACAGATGCATGTTGGGTAGGAGTAAGGAGACAGACGTGAGTGGGGAAGTAGTAAGGGGTCAGAAGTGAGTTGGGGAAGGTAGAAGGAGACAGAAGTGAGTGGGGAAGGAGACAAATGTGAGTTGGGTAGGAGTAAGGAGACAGAAAAGAGTGGGGAAGGAGTAAGGGGTCAGAAAAGAGAGGGGAAGGAGACAGATGCGAGTTGGGTAGGAGTAAGGAGACAGACGTGAGTGGGGAAGTAGTAAGGGGTCAGAAGTGAGTGGGGAAGAAGTAAGGGGTCAGAAGTGAGTGGGGAAGGTTGAAGGAGACAGAAGTGAGTAGGGAAGGAGTAAGGGGTCAGAAGTGAGTGGGGAAGGTAGAAGGAGACAGAAGTGAGTTGGGAAGGAGTAAGGGGTCAGAAGTGAGTGGGGAAGGTAGAAGGAAACAGAAGTGAGTTGGGTAGGAGTAAGGGGTCAGAAGTGAGTGGAGAAGGAGGAAGGAGACAGAAAAGAGTGGGATAGGAGACAGATGCGAGTTGGTTAGGAATAAGGAGACGGAAGTGAGGGAGACAGAAGTGAGTGGGGAAGGAGTAAGGGGTCAGAAGTGAGTGGGGAAGGAGTAGGGAGACAGAAGTGAGTAGAGAAGGAGGAAGGAGACAGAAAAGAGTGGGGAAGGAGACAGATGCGAGTTGGGTAGGAGTAAGGAGACGGAAGTGAGTGGGGAAGTAGTAAGGGGTCAGAAGTGAGTGGGGAAGGTTGAAGGAGACAGAAGTGAGTGGGGAAGGAGTAAGGGGTCAGAAGTGAGTGGGGAAGGTAGAAGGAGACAGAAGTGAGTTGGGTAGGAGTAAGGGGTCAGAAGTGAGTGGGGAAGGTAGAAGGAAACAGAAGTGAGTTGGGTAGGAGTAAGGGGTCAGAAGTGAGTGGAGGAGGAAGGAGACAGAAAAGAGTGGGAAAGGAGACAGATGCGAGTTGGTTAGGAATAAGGAGACGGAAGTGAGGGAGACAGAAGTGAGTGGGGAAGGAGTAAGGGGTCAGAAGTGAGTGGGGAAGGTGTAGGGAGACAGAAGTGAGTAGAGAAGGAGGAAGGAGACAGAAAAGAGTGGGGAAGGAGACAGATGTGAGTTGGGTAGGAGTAAGGAGACGGAAGTGAGTGGGGAAGGAGTAAGGGGTCAGAAGTGAGTGGGGAAGGTAGAAGGAGACAGAAGTGAGTGGGGAAGGAGTAAGGGGTCAGATGCGAGTTGGGTAGGAGTAAGGAAACAGAAGTGAGGGGGACAGAAGAAACAGAAGGAGAAAGGAGTATAAAAAGTGAGAGGGAATGCTAGCTAATTCCAGTTTACCCTCCAACCCCAACCCCCTTGAAGTTAGCAGGGCTGGTATTATAAGGGACCAAGTAGAGAAAGATTCTATTAGTATTACAGTAAGATGTATTAGAATAAGGGCCAGGCCAGGAGTATTTGAGAAAAGGTTGTTGGTTAGAGAGTAAATGTTGGGGACAAAGAGAGTTATAGTATTAAGATAAAGAATAAATTTTATTTGTATGATTTGATAATGAGCAGAAACATATTATATCCTTTTCTGACAGTTACCTTGACTAAAAATGAGGTGAAATAACAAATGTAACTTCAAGTTGAAATGGTATTTTGACATTGATGTATAGGAGATTTATTTCCTCACACATTTTTTTAAGGAACACCCATTGTTTAACAAAATTTATAGATATTTTGTATTTTTCTCTTTTTTTTTTAGGTTGTCAGTCAGGTGTCAACCCAACCTGGTTATGACCTTGACCTTGGTTATCGCTTGTTGGCAGTATGTGCAGCACACCGAGACAAACTCTCATCAAAAGCTGCAGGTAGGTCACTTATATTCTGTTCATGTCATCTATGCTCAACGTAATCACACAGGTAGGTCACTTACACTACATAATTACTCAGGTAGGTTACTTACACTACATAATTACACAGGTAGGTCACTTACACTATATAATTACACAGGTAGGTTACTTACACTACATAATTACACAGGTAGGTCACTTACAGTACATAATTACTCAGGTAGGTTACTTACAGTTCATAATTACACAGGTAGGTTACCTACACTCTACATAATTACACAGGTAGGTTATTTACACAACATAATTACACAGGTAGGTCACTTACACTACATAATCACACAGGTAGGTTACTTACACTCTACATAATTACACATTTAGGATACTTACACTACATAATTACACAGGTAGGTTACTTACACTCTACATAATTACACAGGTAGGTTACTTACACTCTACATAATTACACAGGTAGGTTACTTACACTACATAATTACACAGGTAGGTTACTCACACTCTACATAATTACACAGGTAGGTTACTTACACTCTACATAATTACACAGGTAGGTTACTCACACTCTACATAATTACACAGGTAGGTTACCTACACTCTACATAATTACACAGGTAGGTTATTTACACAACATAATTACACATGTAGGTCACTTACACTACATAATTACACAGGTAGGTTACTTACACTCTACATAATTACACATTTAGGATACTTACACTACATAATTACACAGGTAGGTTACTTACACTCTACATAATTACACAGGTAGGTTACTTACACTACATAATTACACAGGTAGGTTACTCACACTCTACATAATTACACAGGTAGGTTACTCACACTCTACATAATCACACAGGTAGTTTACTTACACTCTACATGATCACACAGGTAGGTCACTTATGTTTTGCTTTAACACACAGCTAGATGATTTTAATACACAAGAAATTCACTTTCAGTACTTTCGTTTCTTATTTTCCTTTCCTCTACTTAACTTCAATGTTTTCAAACTTCCATTTTCTTTTTGCACTTATTGTTTTTTTGACAATACCTTCTTATTAGTTTTACACAAAGAGAGATAACTCTAGAATCCTGAAAGGTGAAGTCAATTGCAGCAGTATTGGAAGGATAGAATGGATTGACTGGACATTATTAGATCATTCAATTTTGCTTGAGATTTATTTTCTGCCCTGCCAGAGCAGCAGAAGCCAGGGTTGAGCAGGGCCTAGGATCAATATCTCACTTTGGACACTCCTGCCCTTTAATCGCCAATCGCCATTACATCCCAGTTATAAACACAGTGTGTGCTTTTATGTCCCACAGTACGAGCTGGATGTCGAACTATGCCATTTTATGTCATTTGGAGAAAAGCATACTATAAACCACAGGCAAATCACATACTCTTCTGTCATCCGTGTTAGACCAATCAATACACTTCTTCTGTTTGTTACTTTTTCTCCCAAACCAAAATGAGTCATCGGCATAAAAGCAAGTCTACTTTTTAAAGATTACACCAAGTATAACAAGCATGCCCATACAATATCACTAAAATCTATTTCATATTTGTAAATAATTGATGGTTCCTGCTTTCTAATCATCGAAAGGGAGAAAATCAGAGTAAGGACCATTTCAATTGGTTAATGTGTTAGGCCGTCATCCTGTTGTCATAAAGCGGGCCGAAGTGAGAGTCATAATGAGTACATAAAGCATCACGATCAGACTGTTACTGCACCTCACTCCATCATATGGCTAAGTCAAGGCCTTGGGTGGATCTATAATATCTGCTCATGGAATTGGTAATTGATTGCTGGGGCTTCCACCAAGCAAAGCTTCTCTTCTGCTGGCATGTTTCAATTACATTTATATGACACCAGGCATTAAATGCCCCACCGCACTCTACTTCAGCCTTTGATGAAAACATTTTAAGCAATTTCCCACAAGTCCTTTGTCACCATGGCTACCAGACTCTTCTTTTCCATTGCAAGTCTTGTAATACATTTTTGTGATATCAAATAGAGTCAGGTGTATATTTGCTACAGAAACAGGCGATAGCAAAATCAGATTTGTGTTCCTAACAATGATGTCTATGTATCTTGATCAACTGAATTTTTTTAAATTACAGACGTGCCCTTTTGAGTGCCTTTTCAAAAATGTAATTACTGTAATTAAATGTATTACCTGATCCAATATACAAAGGTTTATTTACCTGAGTGGTAGTTTCATATCATTCCTGCACCAGTGTAGTATACTGCTGCTGTCCACTGGGTAACTTGGGATTAGGAAGAGGAGATCAACATGACACATCTAGTTAACCCAAGAGCAATTCCAAAACAATAATTTTTCAACAAAAATTAAAATTAAAGTAGAAAGGCTCGATTAATTTTCAATGTCCATAATTTAAGGACGTATAGTTGTCTAATTTACATAATCTAGGTGTCTATTCTTTTTGTTTTCATTAATTGTTTTCTTGTGTTTATAGTGTTTTTTGTTCAGGTTATTTGGTTTTCAAGTTTTTTTTTATCTTTAAAGTCCTTTTTTTCTTTCTAGGCAACTGTATAAAACTCAGTATTTCTTAAGTTTCCATAATCAAAACTTCACAAATTTCACCTGAAGGATCTGCATCAAAACATTTACTGTTAGTGTAGTTAAACGATTTGTCCAATTGTTTAATGTTAATGCATGACAGGTTACCTGTGTGTCTATATTTAGCTTACTCAGGTGGTAGCGAAGTACGGTAATCCTATTGATTGCCATTAATGCCCCATCACAGAGCTGTAATCCTATTAGGGTACCTGTAAATCACGATGGATTCCTGCCAGTATCTGCAGCATCAGCAGTCTGTTTAACAAGTAATCGACCACTTTCACTGACGAATACAGGTATACAGCCAATCTATTGAAGGAAATACATAAACAGGAAATAATTTATAGATCTTCAATCATACAAGTGTAAATAGCAATATCGAACAAAGTACTGGAGTCGATATTATTCAAAGTTTCTGAATATATGGACCATACTAATCATTTATGCTAGATTTGAAAATAAAAAAAACAAGTTTTTTAACACAATATCAACAGAAATTAATTCAGATTTCAGTCATAAGTATGGAAATGAATCTGAAATGGGTTCCAAAAACTTTCACAAAAGTTTCTAAAAAAAAAAAAAAATTATTTTAACCTTTACAGTAGTCATTCAAAAATATCCAACACAAAAATCGTTTTTCTACTTTTTAATTGAGAAAACATCTTGTATGATTAGAAACAGGTGCATTGTAATTTACAAAGACCACTAAACCAACACTTTTTCCAGGACACATCTTCATAATTCCATGTTGGTATGCACATGGTTGCATGATATTTGATATACCTATGTTTCTCCAAAAATAAAATGTTTACAAGAGAATCTATTGGAACAATTTGCACCAAGACCAAATGACCTCCGTAGATGGTGGGGGGAGCTGTTTACAGGCAAGCCTTTTCTTATCTAAAGAATTGGCCCATCATCAATTTCTTTTTGCAAGAGAAACTATAGCCTACCACACATACACAATGTTGGGGAGATAAACCAGTAGCAGACCCTGGAGTACTCATCATCACTGCCCACACTTTCTAAATCCATAATCTAAACTTCAACGAAAAACAGCACCACAAAAAATATCAAATGGAAGAAAAAATGTTTTTCTGCTGGTCTACTCCATGATGTTGACATGGCTATGAATTAAAGGTTTTAAGAGAAGCTAGAATTCCATTGTTAAAAACAACATACAAAAAAACTGTGCGGGCCAAAGATATTGAGGTAGAATGGCATAAATATTCCCTACATTGGCTTTCTCCTATATATACAACAACTCTTTTGTTTGACAAGGTTCGAAAGAAAATGTAGAAAACACAACAGACTTAATTGGATTGATGGAGTTAACTTGTGTATCAGATGTTTAGAATTCCTAGCCCTTGTATAAACTCTCAAGTATGGAGAAGTGGAATCTGCCTATCATAAACTGGATTGTAGCTGCTCCCTAGCTCCAGTCTCTCTCCTACACCTAACCAACACATACATGCACTTGTAATATGTTATAATACACACAAGAGTTCTGCAAAACATGACAAACTGAGGAATCCTGGGTCACTTGATAGATTTCCTGGCCTAGCAGAACTTCATTTCCTCCAGACCTTAATCATTCATATAGAGATGTAATATAAGATGCCGTGTATATTAATTCTCTCAGTAACCAGATGTATTTGCCAAGGATGAAACCCAACCCACTAAACAGTCATCCACGCTTGTCAGGGACCCATCTTCCTTCCATCAAAGTCTTTGTCAGTTTTTTTTTTTCTTGTTTTCTTTACAATGAATCAAAAGGCAAAATATACTCGTGATAATATTATATACATCTATACAAATAAAGCTAAGTTAGTAACTGCAGATCAGAAACCTGTATACTACACAATGTACCTGTATACTACACAATGTACCTGTATACTACACACTGTACCTGTATACTACACACTGTACCTGTATACAACCTGTATACCATTGTATATATACTACACACTGTATCTGTATACTGTATATACTACACAATGTACACACACATTGTACCTGTATACTACATTGTACCTATATACTACACACTGTATCTGTATACTACACAATGTACCTGTATACTACACACTGTACCTGTATACTACACACTGTACCTGTATACTACACAATGTACCTGTATACTACACACTGTACCTGTATACTACACATTGTACCTGTATACTACATTGTACCTATATACTACACACTGTACCTGTATACTACACACTGTACCTGTATAATACAGTGTACCTGTATAATGCACACTGTACCTGTATACTACACACTGTACCTGTATACTACACACTGTACCTGTATACTACACACTGTACCTGTATACTACACACTGTACCTGTATAATACACATTGTACCTGTATAATACACACTGTACCTGTATACTACACACTGTACCTGTATACTA